CAAGGTGGGACTCCAGAAGCACATCCTGGGTCATCAATGTCTGCAATGGGGGGATGTGGGGCAGCAGAGGCAGCTGCACCATGCTGTGAGTGAAGAGAAATACTGCCCTGCAGTTATGTGGAGGAACAGAGGAACGGGGAAAACCTGGGCTGGGAAAGCAGGCAGGGCTGCTCAGTCAGCTTGGGTAACTCACGTGGACACGGACACGGTCGTCTTATGCCACTGACAAGTGAATGAAATGCAGTGGAAGTCCTCCATAGAAAACCGTCGACAGACATAGAGTTAAATTTCCTAGATTAAGTGGTTGGGAAATCACCAAGAATAGATTTGGGCCTTCCTTCATACTCAGTTTTCCTTAGACAAGGACAAAAAAAGTAAAATAAAAATATCTCAGTCAGCTTTAGATAACAGATACCTCTGTGTTACCTGGCTCCCCCGTGGCTGTCTCCTGCCACCCGTGCCACCTGTCCCCACTGCCAAAGGAGATGCTGAGCACTGAGGTTCACGGGAGGTGAACCCCACTGTTTGTTGGTTGAACAGCCACCTTGCACTTTACATGCCACCTCCAAAACTGGATCTTGCTACTATGAAACTAGAGCCGAAGTCAAGCAGATGGCACTGAAGAGGTGTTTCAGGAAACTACATTTCCATCAGCATGTGTAGTGTTGCTTCTGCAAGGGCCATTTTTTAACTCTGCTGTGGTTTGCAAGACAGTTATTGATTTAGGGCATGGCTCAAAGAGCAGGTGAAACTTGACGTGTTGAGATGCAGCCCTGTTTAATGCGTGCCACAGATAAATGGGGTGCCAGAAGACTGAGGGGTTCTTGTGTCTGTCCAGTGTTTTGGAGTGAATTGCCAGCCGTGGTAGGCAGCAGTACTCATTTGCAGGTATTAAGTCCCATTTCCCTGCTGCAGGGAGCACGTGAGGAGAAACCTGTTTTGAAGGGACTGTTTTTTTCCACAAATACAGGAGGAACAGCAACACCCCTGCTGAAGTATGTTGCGTGGTGGAGACCTTGCTGGTGCCCTTGGGCTCTGGATGCGGTGGCTCACTCCCATCATGAAGCAGATGGTCTGAGGTCATGAGCAACCCTGGTAATTACAGGGAAGGGCTTAGAAAGCTCCCTGGCACCCTGGGACGTCCGTTCCTGTATCCTGCACAGAGCCAGCTTCACCTGTGATGAGAACTGCTGCTCTAAAGGTGGTGGGCTCATCTTGGAGTTTGGGTTTGAACATCAAAACCAGTGTGGTTGTGGCCATGATAAAGCCAAGGTGCCCTGGGACCGTGCAGAAATAGTTGACCATGGGGCAGACTGGGTTGCATACAGCAAAAACACATGGAAATGGGGGTCTGCCAGGTGTTTGCAGATGTGAAAGCTCCTCATTGCAGTCCAAACCTGACCAGGTTTGTGGTGGTCCCCCACCACATGTCAAGCAGCAAGGGTCTGGAGGAACATCTCAGCTGGTGGAGGAGGTCCATTGGAGGAGGCTGTGTCTTTTTTGGGCCACCCTCAAGAGCCAAGCGACTCCCTTTAGAGGACTGGATGGGCCGGACACACATGGACAGCACTGTCTCTCCGTGGCTCAGTGTTTCCCACTGGAAGGAGATGTGACCTATGTGAAAGGATGCCTTGTGGGTCTCCTGAACAGAGATTTAATTTTAGTTACCAACACTGCAGTGTTGAATAGGCAGTGATGTGGAACAGAAGCACAGTGGGGGTGTTACAGGGTGGTAATAACATGGCTGTCATGAACTAATGTTGCTGGGAACAGGCTGTACTGCCTTCTTTTAGCTGCAAAAACGCACACTTGCCGTGAAGCAGAGGAGCTGGGGGCAAAGGGAGGACGGGCTGTGCAGGGGGGGAAAAGGAGCACCCCCAGGGACCTCCTTGCTCTCCTGCCCCGGGGGGCTGCGGGTGATGGGCAGCCCCCTTGACAGAGCACTGTGAGAGTTGTCCCCATGTTGGACTTGGGGTCTGGGGGTGCCGAGCAAAGAGCAAAGCTCACAGAGAGCCTGGAAATGCTGCAAGGGGTCCAGTGGTAACCAGCGGCATCCCTTTCCTCCTCCATCCCACCAGTGCTCTTCAGTCCTTTGGTGCTTCAGGTGTCCATAGGCTGCTCTTTAAACCCCCTTTCAGTGTATTTGCTGTCAGTGGTTGCTCTTTGTCTGCTCCATGCTGTTGTGCTTGGTCAGCTAATCTTCCTGGCTAGACCTGCTCTTCTTCAGGCTTTGGCCTCCCTTTGGGAGGGTGGTGTTGGTTCCCATAACCTTGGAAAGCCCTGCCAGAAATTAGAGGGGTGAAAGCCCTATCTAGAGGAGTCTACAGAAGTCTTGAGAGTATAGAGAAGTCTTGAGAAGTCTAGAGTCTACAGAAACTTGTCATTCTGGAAGGATTTGGGATCTTGGATGGTGATTTAGGGCCTCTTATGCTGGTTTTTTATCTATGGAAGAGGGAAACCTCTCGATTCCTCCTGAGCTGGAGGAGGGCTGGCATCTCCCCTCTCCTTTGAACTGCAAGAGAGATGGGGGATGGCACAAGTGCAAGCACTGGCGTAAGGGAAGTTTTTTCCTTATATATAAGGGAATATGAGATTATTGTCTTGCTCACGTATGTGCTATAGTGCGAGTTATTTCTGGAGATTAATAATATGCTAATTTAACAATTTAGCTTGTTAATCTATTAATCCTGCCTTCTTTACTTAACGTCAGACCTATTGTGGAGCTGCAGTAATGGAATTGCAGCTCTCCCAGCTGTACAGCCCTGATCAGAGCTTGGATTGATACAGAGGATTAGAAATATTTCAGTCCAAAGGTCGGCTTTGTTCGGTCAACACAGAGTGTTAGCTTGGCCCTGTGCAATTAGGGACATCTGTGCTGGGAGAGGATTTATGCCTTTCCAAGGGAAAGCTCTGGTTGTTCAATACAAACTGAAGTGTTAATAAAAATGCCCAGCTGAGGAGAACAAAAAAGAAAATCCACTCTATTTATTTTTTTGTTTCTCTTTGAGTTCTTTGAATGTTTTCCAGGATTTTACTTTTTAAAATGTTGGAAGATGACAGATGTAAGAAGTGATTTGCTATGAGTAAGACTTGTGCTTGTCCTGCTCAGTGAAGGTCTTCTGCTCTCCAAAAGCTCCCCAAGGGATGGCAGCAGCTTGGCCAGAGGCAGAGCCGTGCTCAAATGAGCAGCCAAATTTCTGCAGGAGAGCTCAGGAGGAGTCACTCTGGAAACATCACCTGGCCACCAAATGAGATGTCGAGTATTGGATGTGCCTCTTTACCTTTCCCAGATATCTTTTTAATTTTCAGTCACCACTGCCTGAGATCCCCCTGCCAGGGCTAAGTGCGGGCAGGAACAATAAGGTTTGGCCCACGACTGCTGTGTTTTAATCAAACAGATATTTTACTCTCTGTTAAAATAAACATTTTTCCCGTCCTGTTGTATGACTCACTTTTTCTTATGCTGACCTGGAGTATCTGATATTTTAATTACCTTCTCAGAGACATGGGTTTATTTCAGATACATTTGAAGAGATGTGTAAATCAAGTGCAAAACTAAAGTACATCAGTCATAAAACAGCTTCTTTTGGAGACTGCCAAATTTTCGCACTAGGACAAGCCTGGTTTTCTATCAGTCAGTGTTTTAGTCCCCAAAACTGGTTGGAGGGGTTTTTTGGCACCCTCAAGATTGTTTTCAATGGGAAATGAAGTACATAAGTGTGCCTGTACTCCGTGAAAGCCAAGAACAAATCATGCCGGGTGCTATAAAGTGATCTAATTTACTGCGGGATAGCTATTCGGATGCACAGCTTCCTGTTGGAAGCTCCTTCTCCCAGGAAAAATTTGATGCAATTTTTGATGCATTAACACTGAAGTACCTCCCTGAATTTTCCCCTGATCCTATGGGAAAATTAGGCACCATCAAGGTTCCTGGGTGAAGTTCTGCCCCATCCCAAGAGAGCTCCACTGCAGGTGGTCTTGGATGCCAAAGCAGAGTCCGGAGGAGATGAGTCTGCCCAGCAAACACCTTGACGATGCATCTGCAGAAACAGAGCTTGGCAAAGAGTTTGCTGTAGGTAGCTCATATCAGATATGATGTGTTAACGTAGAAAAATGAACTGATGATTTCTCACCTGGCAAAATCTCTGGTGTCCTGTGCCGTTCCTGTAGTAGGAAGAACGTGTGTGCTAGCGTTGGTGGTGCTGAGGGATGCATTGTCTAACAGCAGGGTTTGGAGGCAGGAGCTGGCCAATAGAAGGGGCATTTGTTGGGTTGCTGGCATCAGCTTGGTATTTTAACTGCGAGGAAAATGAAATGGAAGAAAATTGGTTGGGAGGCTTCTATGCTGCCAAAGTGGTAAAAGTTGGACTTTTATGAGACTTTTTTTCTGATTTGTCTCAGTTTGCTGAGATTTCAGTTTGAAATGGCAGGTCCTTTGGGTTGTGGTTTCTCAGCAGTGATGAGTGGTGTCGTGGTCTGGTCCCAGCAAGGCTGGCTGTGTTGAAGTTTCTGCCTTGCAAGAGCACCCTAATCCCACTTATTTTAATATTTACATGTTGCATGACTAAGGGCTTTGCAAAATGGCTGGATCCCAAGCGTTGTCCTTTAAAGTGTCAGACTTGCAACAGGTTTACTCCATTAAACGCCTGCTATGGGGGCTGTGTGTTGGTGGGGGGTGGGTGGAGACTGGATGCCCTGGTCTGGAGGTTTGGGAGATGATGTTCTGCCCGGCTGATGGGAGCTCTGCTCTTCTCAAGAATATGACAATCGTGGCTGTGTCCCACTGGGTGCAGCAGGTCATGTATTTTGGTTGAAGGAATAAGAGCAGACAGCAGAAGTTGAGTAAAGTTGTGTTGGACTTACTTGGGTACCAAAGGAAGATCTATAGGGAGTAGAAACGAGGACAGGTTAGCTGGGAGCATTATAAAGAAGTTGCCCAAACAGCCAGGGATCAGACTAGGAAAGCTGGGGTGCAAGTGGAATTAAATCTAGCCAGGGATATGAAGGGGAATAAGAAGAATTTCTATAGGTACATCAGTGATAAAAGGAAGGCTACGGAAGAAGTGAGCCCTCTCTGGAAGGAAGATGGAGAACTGGTCACAGGGGACACGGAGAAGGCTGAGGTGCTCAATGACTTCTTTGCCTCAGTCTTTACTGTCAAGGGCTCTAGCCGCACTGCCCAAGTCACAGAAGGCAAAGCCAGGGACTGGGACAAGAAAGATCCACCCACTGTACGCGAAGATCAGGTTTGAGACTACCTAAAGAACCTGAAGGTGCACAACTCCATGGGAAGTGAGCTGGCAGTGTGCATCTGCAGCCCAGAAGGCCGACCACATCCTGGGCTGCATCACAAGAGGTGTGGCCAGCAGGGCGAGGGAGGTGATTCTGCCCCTCTTCTCTGCTCTTGTGAGACCCCACCTGGAGTACTGCATCCAATTCTGGGGTCCCCAATATAAGAAGGACATCAAGCTGTTGGAGTGGGTCCAGAGGAGGCCCCGAAGATGTTCAGAGGGCTGGAACACTTCCCGTGTGAGGACTGACTGAGAGTTGGGGCTGTTCAGCCTGGAGAAGAGAAGGCTCTGGGGGGACCTTATTGCAGCCTTCCAGTTCCTGAAGAGGCCCTACAGAAAGGCTGGGGAGGGACTTTTTACAAGGGCAGGTAGCAACAGAACAAGGGGGAATGGTTTTAAACTGGAAGAGGGTGGATTTAGGCTGGATATTAGGAAGAAATTTTTCACTGTGAGGTTGGTGAGGCACTGGCACAGGTTGCCCAGGGAAGCTGTGGATGCCCTCTCCCTGGAAGTGTTCAAGGCCAGGCTGGACAGGGCTTTGAGCAGCCTGGTCTGGTGGGAGGTGTACCTGCCCATGGCAGGGGGATTGGACTGGATGATCTTCAAGGTCCCTTCCTGCCTAAACCATTCTATGATTCTGTGATAAATGTGGTGAGATACATTTCTGGGTACAGAAACTGCATTTTTCACTTAAAGATGAAATCCATGCTTGTGCAAGCAAAATTTAAAACAGCAGCAATCAGTCATCTTCTTTGTGTCCTTAAAATGCAACTTGAATTTTGGGCCAGGATATGCAGTTTTTGTGTACAAAGGCTGATATTGAGGCCAGGGTTTGTTTATTTAGTAAATATAATGCCTGAATGCATCAACTGATGTTTAAAAGTGTTTACCGATGTTCCCATCGTGTGCTGGTCCATTATGCTTTATGGAGCGTGAGGACCACAACCTTTGAATAAAAAACTTGTGGTGCCTGCTTCATTCGCAGAAATTAGTCTTAATACTTGACATTATCAAGTTAGTGATACTTGATATAGCATTTTGAGAGTAATTAGGAGCATGAATTTATGCTCAGATGGATGTTTAATTAAAAACCGTGGCAGCTTTGAAGTTCATGCTTGAACAGTCTTGAGGCTGAAATGTGGGTTTATACCCAAGTGAACCTTGACAGCAAATCTGGAGAGGGGAAAACACTTTAGTAGCTCCAGTTTTCTCCTATACATTTTTACACCGTCACAGCCATCACAATGTCTGTAGCAGTGATGGATTTATGAAGGTGGGAGCAGGTCGAGGGGTTCGGCCAGGACATCATTTAGCCAGATGCAAAACCTGCTTTAGGAAAAGGATCAGGGAGATGTTGGAGGATACTTGTGTATCTGAGACTGATGCTGGGAGTGGTCCTTCAAACCTTGAAGCACTGCTGTGAACAGTCAACGTGGGGCGATGAAGGTGCCTCCTGCAGATCTCTTCTTGAACTTATGGGGAATTCAATCGCTGCCCTGTGTGAGCAGGGAGGGAGAGGTGGGTAAACCCATGCCTATGTCCAAAGCGAAGGCCATGGCATGTGGGGGTTTGAGCTCTGTGGCAGGACTGGGCTGGTGGTGGGATGCCATGGCAGCTTGGGCTTTGGGAAGATGCCGGTCCTCCTGCATCTCTCTCTTATGTAGGAGCAGCTGGAAGCAGCTCACCCCCCCACTGACAAACAGAAAAATCCCAAAGAATGCCAGGAGACAAAGGAGGCGAGAAAACAAAATGGTACAGCTTGCTGAGGAGCAGATCAGCTCCTTTTCCACAGGCAGACGGCGACCAAGGCATCGATTATGAAGCAGGGAGGAGGCAAGGAGGGCACGGGGAGCAAGGGTGGCTGCAGTGATTGCTGCTCCCCTCCGGCTTCCTTTGATCCTCTTGCCAAAAATAGTGGTGGTGTGGTCTGAAGGCTCAGAAGTAACTGCCATACCCTGGAAGGGTCTCATCCTCCTGAAGGCTTTGCCTTGGGGCAGCTGCACCCTCTCCAGCATCCCCAGAGTGAACTTTCAAGCACAGGGACACCAAAAAAGAGGAATTTTGAAAAAGCAGAGAAATTTTGTGTAGGCACCTGCCATCCTACCTGTTTAGACCCACATCTTTGCTGCTGGGGGAACAGGGGTGACCCCAGGAACAGCAGTTGGACTTGGTCGTGGTATGGTTTTGTAGTGGAGGCCTCTGCTCTGGTGTTGGTGCCAACAAGTGTTCATGTGTTTTGATACGAAGGAGGTAAAAGCATATTGCAACATGGGCTTTCTGGCAATCTTCTTGATCTTGCTACCTAAATACCCACTTGTAGCTTAACAGCGGCACAAGGTTCAGAGTGGAGAATTTGGGACTTGCCACGCAAGCCTCCTTTTCTCCTTGGCCAGTATCTGAGGTTGACAGCAGCACTCCACCACTGCAAGGCTGGGGCATTTCCCTAAAGTACAAACTGAGGTGGTGATGTGTCAGATGAAGGCGGGTACAGCCAGCAAATGCATGGCTTGAAGTGCCTCAGCTCCCTCCTCCGTTTCATGGAGGATGCAGTGTGCTGTGGCTGTGTCCGAGCAAATTCCTGCTTTTTGGCTGTGATTAAAGAGTCAGTACGTGTGGGGGCTTCCTGGTCAAGCAAACAAGGATGGATTTAGGAAGAGGAGGATTTGGTTTTGCAAATCATGCTGTCTAAATAGATGGTCTCTAGCGATGCACCACTTCTTGCTGATGGCTGCATCCAGGGGATGCTTCAGCCGCAGCCCAGTGCTTCTGGGCTGCATTTTATTCTCTTTTTGTTTTAATGTTGCACATTTTAAAGTAAAGCTCTTTTTCTGTTGTTAGAACATGCGGTTGCTCTGGACATATAAATTGTGTTAATAAACGAGCAAGGAGCCCTGGTGGGTGAATTGGC